TGGGAGCAAGAGCACCAGGATGCTTTTGACAGCATCAAGGCCAGTCTCCAAGAGGCCCCTGTCCTGGCTCTGCCGGACGAGACGAAGCCGTTTAGCGTCGTCTGCGATGCCTCCGATTACGCCATCGGGTGTGCATTGCTGCAGGACGACACGGCTGGACAGGAACGAGTCATCTCATTCCAGTCCCGGCAGCTCAAAGCCGCCGAGCGGAACTACCCTGTCCATGACAAGGGGCTCCTGGCAATGAAATATGCCCTTGTGAAGTTCCGTGTTCACCTTCTGGGCTCTACGCCCTTTGTGATCTACACAGACCACGCGTCCTTGAGGACGGCGACTAACTCGCGTCACCTCTCCCAAAGCATGGCGAGGTGGCTGTCCTTCTTCGCGGAATACAACTTCCGCGTCGAATACAAGCCGGGCAAGCTCAACGTGCTTGCGGACGCCCTCTCTCGGCGTCCCGACTATGAGCTGGCCCACATCACGCGGGTGGCAACGGATCTATATGATCGGATACGCATGGCGTATCGAGACGATGAGGCTGTCGCGCCTATCGTCAAGTTCCTTAAGGCCGGAACGAGCGCGAAGTCCGACTGGCTCTCGTCGCGACAGCGCTCACAGCTCCACCGATATGAGTTGAAGGAGGGCCTCCTCTATTATCGGGTGGAGCCCACTGATCCTCCACGGGTGGTCGTACCCAACGACGAGGAGCTGAAGTTCGTTATCCTCGAGTAGGCGCACGACGCGCCTGCCAGCGGCCACTTGGGCCGCGAGAAGACCTTTCTGTCGGTCTCTCAGGCCTTCTGGTGGACCCACATGTACAAGTGAATCGCCCGGTACGTTAAGACATGTGAAACATGTCAGCGGGTCAAACCCGCAGGGCACTCTTCGGCTCCACTACAGAGCCTGCCCGTACCGGCTGATTGTTGGAAGTCGATGAGTCTTGACTTCATCTTTGGGCTTCCCGCCGACGGACACGGCAACACCGGAATTTTGGTGTTCGTGTGTCGGCTGAGCAAGATGGTACATCTTGCTCCGGTTCCCGTTACTCTTACGGGCGAACAAACCGCAACGTTGTTCGTCGATAACGTGTTCCGCTATCACGGTCTCCCGGAGACGATTGTCTCGGACCAAGACCCGCGGTTCACTGCTGCGTTTTGTAAAACGCTGTTCCCTTTACTGGGAACTCGTCTGCAGATGTCCACTGCGGATCATCCGCAGACAGACGGCCAAACAGAGCGCGTCAATCGAGTGCTCGAGGACACTCTGCGCAGTGTGTGCGCGGCAGCGCCACGTACGTGGTCGACGCAGCTTCCAGTTGTTGAGTTTGCGCTCAACAACGCGGTGCACGCGTCCACGGGGTTCACGCCGTTCTACTTGAACGGCTTCCGCCACCCCAGAGTGCCTCTCACTCTTCGAGGAAACACTGACTCCTCTATTCTAAGTGGGGGAGAGGCTCGGAAAGCCCTTTCCTCCCAGGTCTCGGATGTGAGGCCAGTTTCGCTGCGGAAACAGGTGGAATCCTTTATGGATACCAAGCTGAACATTGTCAGCAGGGTCCGCGATGCCATGGCAGCGGCCCAGGATAGACAAAAGGAGTACTCAGACAAACATGGAAGAGGAAACTTAAGTGTATTTAAAGTGGGGGACTTAGTGCTATTAGACACGAGGAACCTACCGCTAGACACTGTCAGCTCTGTCGGCAGCAACAAGCTGAAGCACCGCTTCATCGGACCACTTGCAGTCCTGGTCAGTCATGGTGCGTCGTACACCATCGACCTGCCAAAGTCAATGATGACGCACCCGACGTTCTATGTTGGACGTCTTAAGCGGTACTTTGATCGGCAGGGGGTTGATGACTCGCAGACCCACCTTGACCCAGCTCCTCGAAACGAGGGCCGGTCACAAACGTCGACGAGGGCGTCGGAGCAGGCACCCAAGCCTCGGTCGGAACGGCAAGGCTGCGGTCAAGCCCGTACGCCGGAGGGGCCCCGTATGAAGGGACCCCGGAGCCATACGCTGGGTACGCTGAGTACGCCGGGTACGCACCATACGCGTACGTCTGGGAGTGTACCGCAGGCGGCTCCGGACGTGGCAGCAGAGCCTTGATCCGTCGGATCATGCGAAAGGCCTCGTTCAGATCGGATGAAGAGTCCCGGCGATCCACCCGCAGATGCAGGCTCGCGACCTCTCGCTCCAACTGGTCCAGGCGGCCCGCAAGACGAGCGAGCTCGCCCTGATTCCCGGCCTGAGCGGCAGCATTACCGCCAGTCCCAAGGCCAAGTGCAATCTCAAGCACGAGGACACGTTGACGGAGGCGGTCAACCTAAGGCCCTGTGTCGGACCCACGGCCGGACCACTCGGACAAGAGTGGCGTTCGGGAGGCACCGAGTACTCGTACTCGTACGAGAGCACCTCCGACCCGGCTTGACCGGAATGGAGAAGGTCACTTCCACGTGGAGTGGATCCTCCAGGAGCAACGGCGTCGCGGTAAGCGACAGCTCCTCGTGAAGTGGAGGGGTTATGCCTACTCCGAGAACTCGTGAGAGCCGATTGAACGGCTCCTGATTGACTGCCCGAAGGCTGTCGCAATCTGGGAACAGAAGCGGCAGCAGCTTCATAAGTAGTCCGGGGCTTTTTGCCCGAACGGGGTACGGTCGATGAATACATACCGTACCCGCGCTCATCGTGAGCGCTAGAAGCCGCGCGCTTCAGGATGTCCCTTGGCAGCATACGCTTGCTGATCAAGTGGGCAAACCTCACACGAAGATCACGCTGGTCCAGGATGTGGGACAGCTGCTGATCTTCATGGAGTTCCCATAACTCCGTGGGCGAGTACTTGAGAGTCTCCACCCACGCCCAGAACACGTCCTCACAAGAACTCCATGTGGGACAGTTCTCGGGCATAACCCAGGGGTATCCCCAAAGAGGATAGAGACCACCCCGGGTCTCGGGCTTCTTACGACAAGTCGTGAAGTCATTAAGGGGAATGCGGTGTGGTGCGAGAAGCTCACACCGAGCAGCCTCCAAGTTGTCAACGAACAACTGTTCTTTCTGAACAAGGGCACGTTCGTAGATGCCCCCAGAAGTGTGGCCGCCCACAAGGCCACGGGGAGCGACGCGAAGCTCTAAGAAGAGGTCAGCCCCAGAGCTCTCCTCGGGAGGCCAATACCCTCTTGAGTTGATGGCAGCTCCCTGGCTGACGGGTGCCACCACCGAACCCCCACGCACATGCTGGGCAGCTTGGAAATCCTCCTGCTGCTGGTCGAGGTCATTCGAGACCTCCCGGGGCTCAGCGATAGCACCCTCCTCCTCCTCTTCTTCCTCCTTCTCCTCCTCTTCATCCGAGGAGTCGAAGATACTCTGATAGGGGTGTTGTGTCTCCTTCTCCTCGCGGAGTGGAGACTTAGAGGCTGTACGCTTCTTTGAGGGCTTGGCGCCTTCGGCTTTAGAGGCCTTAGCGCGCGCAAGACCCTCGGCAAGCGAGAGACGTTTGCGAGGACTCCCTTCCTCATCGCCACCGGCTTTGGGAGTGCCCTTAGCCTTAACGGCCGGACTCTCAGAGCGCACAGAGGTCCTGGGACTGTGATCACCGTGATCACTAGCGGACGACTGCACGCTGTCTTCTTTGTGCTCACTGGGCACTGGGCTGTGCCCTCCCACAGAGCCCGCAGGAGCATCATGAGTGCTCTCGGACTCGGCATCGTCCTCACTGCCCGAGTTGAACTCACGTTCTACGAACCGAGGGTTCGGACGATTGTCTGAAGACGAGGGCGACGGACTGCGGCGCCTGCTTGCGCGCTTGTCCGCAGCCGCGTCACCCGAGGATCCGATCGCCTCGAAGGACACCTGGATTGCCTCCTTAAGTGCCGAGCCTTTGCCGTGAGGCTTAGTGCTCTTGGCTTGCGCCTTACCGGCAGCAGCCTTGGAGCGTGTCTTAGCACCGCTCTTTGCTGTACCACGAGGCATGGTAACGGTCGAATTGGAGGCCGAGACGAAGAGCGCACAGGCTGCTGCTCGAGGCTCTAACTGTGAAGTGAGCCTCCACCGCGCTCGCGCGGCCAAGTCGATGGTTTTCGACTTTGAGAATGAGAGTTTGTGACGAACACCTCTTCATTATGATTGGTCGGTAAACCGAACCTAAGTGGGGAAGGATGTAACGGGGTACGTAGCACTAAGTGTACCCTGGTTACATGAAGTGTGACACTTCACACTTCAGGAGTATGACATGTCATACTCCGGGATATTTGGTACAAGGTACCAAGGTCATTCAAAACCAACCATTGGTTAAATGACATTGCATTTCTATAGGTAACTGATAGTTTGTATTAACCTCAAACTTAACCTACCTATAAATATACTCAGTTTACAATCTACCTTATTTAGGTCACTTCGCTCTCTTTAATTAAAGAGGGGACCTGTGAACTGCCGTTCACTGAGAGTTTGTATACTCTCGGAAGATAACTTCCTCTAGCGCAAGGTGCTGTGTGACCCCGTCACAGCTTGCCATTTCACAATTTTCAGCATCTTTAACACCAGACACTCCCCATTTCCAAGCCGCATGACCAACGCAGCCGACTCAGCTGGGGCCACTTCGAGGCCAAACCTAGCGAACCGAGAACGCCAGGATGTCGTCCTCTTCATCCTCATGCACAGCGTGCGGGGGGAAACCTGACTGGGTTGCTTGACCCGTGCATCTGACCATTTTGGCGTCGACAACAGCACAATTAGCCGTGTTTGGTCCGCTCCGCACTGCTGGAGCAGATAGCCGACGTCCCTTTCAGACGCCGCATGACCCAAGACAGTTTAGCAAAAGAGGTGGGTGTGTCTCGTTCGGTCATTCGCGACGCGCTAAAGGAAGGTAAGCTGCTGCGGCACTTAAAGGTGTGGATAGTACAATGTTGCACTTATTTCGTCCCGGAGGAAGTATGTAGTATGACGGGTGGGTGGGTCGTTCTTTTTTTTTCAGAACCCAAATAAATCAAAATCCATTTTGAGAATACCGCACAGCATGTGGCGCCCCTGGCAGCGTACTTCACTTCCTGCGGCGGCGCTGGCTGCCGGCCTGTCAACCATTTCGTACTCGACTCTCAGCGAGCCGGTGCCCCCACCATCCGCCTTCCCGCTGGTCACACCACCTCCCTCTGCTTCCACGCCGGGCGGTGACAAACTCCGCCTCGCTCGCCGCTTTACGCGCCGTAAGCAGACCAAGCATCATCGCTACGTGATTGTGGGCTCGGGTACGGCCGCCAACGCCGCCATCGAGGCTATCCGCCAAGAGGATGCCAGCGCCGACATTCTCGTGCTCAGCGACGAGAACGCGTTACCCCGTCTCGACTATGGCTCGCAGCAGCCCGACGATGAAGAAACCGAAGCTGACGAGCCGCCGCTAGCACCCGCGTTGCTGGAGAGCTACAACGAATGGCGTCGTCACTTAAGCGCGCGCTTCGAAGATGATGCAGCCTCGTCCGTTGGGCCTCCGCCGCTCACGCTGCTGCTGGACAAGCGGCCGCTTGAGTTCGACGTGGAAAAGAATCGCGTATTACTTGGAGACGGCACTGAAGTCCGCTATGAGCGCTGCCTCGTGGCGTCAGCTGGCCGGCCTCGACATTTCTACGTTCTGGACAGCGATCGCGTGTCGTACGCGCTCAAAGACCGCGTCAACACATGCACGACACGCGCGGACTTCGTGCGGTTAGACCAACTGGCAGCCGGAGGGTCCGAGGAAGGTGGTGGAAATGTGCAGAGCGTGCTGGTCATCGGCGCGGGCTTTCTTGGCTGTGAAGTGGCCTGCGCGTTGGCTACAGACCCTCGGAACGACCACATTAAGACCCAATTGGTGTTCGTGGAACAGGCACCCGCTGCCAGGTCGCTGCCGCCGTATCTGGCTGAGGAACTGGGCCGTCGCTTGAGTCGAGCTGGCGTCGATGTGGTGCCGGACCGACTGGTGACGAGTCTGCGTCCGAGCATGGACGACGACGACAACGAGAGCGACAGCGGCGTGACCGTCGGCGTGCTGGGCAAGGATAAACCCGAAGCAGCACTGGACGCGGACTATGTCGTGCTGGCTTCTACTCACACAGACCCGTCCCCTACGTTGCGCATGGGACGCGCCACACGCGCGGGCGGCGGCCTTGAACGGGACGAGAAGAACGGCGGACTCGTTGTCAACGCGCAGCTGGAGGCTGTTTCCGGCCTGTTTGTTGCCGGCAACGCCGCTAGTTACTACGACCCATACCTGGGCAGACGGCGAGTGGACAGATACGACCACGCAGTCAACAGCGGACTCACGGCCGGCCGTAATATGGCCAGGTCGCTTCACGGCGCTGGGAAGATGAAGACGTACCGACACCAGCCTTTGTTCCGTAGTCATCTACCAGGCGTCGGCGTTTTGATTGAAGGTATCGGCGAAGTAGACTCGTCGCTACGAACTGTGGGCGTGTGGGTGCAGCCGCCCAATGTCGGCGCAGGCTCCAACGGTGGGCGAGGAATGCCATACGAGCGTGGTGTGGTGTACTACCTCAAAGGTAACAAGATCATGGGCATTGTACTGTGGAACGCGTCGGATGTGCTGGAGAGTGCGCGCCAGTTGATGCTTTCCCGGCCGGAGATCCGAGACAATGTGGTGGAGGAACTCAAGCACACTATCTCACTCGCGCCGAACGAGTGGCTACATGTGGTCTCCACGTAGACAGTCGGGACGGGTCTTGTGGGTGATGAAATGAACCAAAGTTGACAAGCCTCGACCGTGTTTTTCCAAGTTTGGTGCTGTAACCGCTGCGGAATTGTGTTTCTTTTTTTTGTATTCTTTTTAGAACGTTGTCGGCTGTGTGGATTTTCAAGATGAAGAAGAGCACGAGAGTCTATGCAGGCGGCGACGCGGATGGGAGCAACTCTACGAGTGCTGCAGAACGGAAGGCCAAGAGGAAATTGGTCTCTAGACTATCACACGATATCTCGACGGAGCAGTTGTTCTCTGACGAACTCATCGACGGGAAGATCGCGGACGGCGAAGAGGACGGGAACGACTCGGGCACTGACAGCGATGGTCACCTCTCAACTGCTGGCGAAGCGGTCGGAGCAGCCAAACAGGGAATGATTTACCGTATCGAGTCCCACTCGGCGTTGAGCTCACTGGAGGCAAAGTATCTGCCATCTACGGACAGCATCGTCAATGGATCGATGGAGCCGCGGCCAACTGCTCGGACACACAAGCTCGCTCCACTCCCAGGGAGTCCGACAGCTCGAAATGCTGAAGCTGCCACGGGATCGACTTTTCGACCGCCTGCGCTGTTCACGACGCTAGAAATGGAGGAAACTCCAACGCAGCAGTCCCATGTGTGCCTGCAATGCAGTAAGAGTCGAGAGATGCCACCGATGCATTGTGCTGCGTACAACGGACATGTGACGTGTCTGGAGCTTCTCCTGCGAAAAGCCGATGCAGAGACAGAAGCTCAAGGCAAGAAGAAGACGAACTGGCTGGACAAGAAACAGCGGACGCCTCTGTTCTACGCGTGTGCAGCGAATCGACTCGAGTGTGGCGCTCTGCTGGCTCGTGAACGTCGCGTGTGGCTGAACTCTCCTGATCGGCAAATGGATACGCCAGTGCACGTTTGTTGCTTCTTTGGCTGGCATCAATGTTTGCAACTCCTGTTGGATGCTGGTGCTGATCCACATGGACGTAACGCGAAGGGCTTCAAGCCGTCCCACTTAGCAGCCACACCCGAGTGTCTTGAGGCTCTTTTAGCGTTTGGAGACGACCTGCTTCAAGGCGATAAACTCGGTCGCTCGCCTCTATTCGTCGCCTGTGCTCGTGATCGTGTGTCGTGTGTTAAGTTCCTCTGTGCTTGGAACAACCAGTCGCGTTCGTGGATGCTGGAGCTCGAAGATGAACGTGGCGATCGTGCTATACATGCAGCTGCATGCAACGGCAGTACTGGGTCTGTGGCTGTGCTGCTACGCTACGGAGCTGATCCATTGATGAGTAACACTCGAGGCATGAGTCCGAAGGATTTAGCTGTTGCCAACAAACATCCGGACTGTGAAGCACTGCTCATCCAGGCTGAGAATGAACTCGCAGCGAGCGCTGGCTCATCGTGGCTGGCACCTGCCAATGCAGTTGATAGTGAAGGTAACAATGGCGAATCTAAAGGTGAAGGTGATTGGATCCAGTGCTGGGATAATGTCAGTGGCCAGGCCTTTTACTACAATAATCTCACTGGCAAATGCCAATGGGAAGCTCCGACTGGATTCGAGGCTTTGGAACAGCCACAACAAGGGACGAGTGGGCAACATTATGATCAATACTCAGAGGCGTCTGGAGAGACCGAGGATGGGAATGAGGAGTATGTGTGGGTCAAGAAAAAGAAGCAGACGGTCTGTGTCGTAAGTGGTCGTGAGACGGAATGGACAGCAGTACAGGATCCAGCCTCGAGAGCTATCTACTACAAGAACATTCGAACGGGTCAGTCTCAGTGGGAAGAACCGGATGCAGTTCGAGAGCTCGCGAGTGCTGCTGGTGCGCGTACATCTCAAGAAGCCTCGCGGGTGTGGGAAGGTCTCGATAAGTGTCGTTCTGCTCTGGCTGCTGCGATAGCACGTGAGAAGCGTAGACAGCTTGAGGCCCATGAACAGACTCTGCTACAGGCGAGGCTGTACGTGCAACAACGTCGAGAAGATATCGCTAAACGCGAGGAACAGGCTCGACTGGCTCAACTGCTCCCTCGCTCGTCTTTTGTGCGCCGTAAGAAGCAGTCGATGATGATGAAGGTGACGACACACAACCGTCAAGCCACCACCACCACTACTACAACCACTGCAAGAGTGATAGGCAAGAGACAGTCGAGTCTTGATGAAGTCTTGAACGAGAATGATGACACCAATGGAGAAAGCGAAGAAGAAGAAGGAGGAGCTGAAGCTCGATTGGAGGAAATCTGCTCCAACGAGCCAGCGTTGGACATGTTCTTAAGCACTTACTTGAAGCTACGTGGCGTACGTGATCTACAGGTCCTCACGACTGAGAAACGTTTGAGCAATTGCCTGTTCCATTACTACGTGGCTCTTGTGGACCCCGTGCATCAACGTGGCATGAGTAAAAGTCAATTCCGTGTCGTGTTGAGAGATATGAACGTGATTCCAGGGGGAGCGCCAGTGTCGTCTTCTTCTTCTCTGGTATCATCTCGAAATGGTTCTGCTGCTGCACCGCCTCTGAAACTTCACGTGACTGATCTCATCTTCTCTCAAGCTGAACGCACCATCGCACACGAAGAATCACCGACTCAGGCGTCACGAATGGTCCATCGTCAGACGGCGCCGTTAGTTGCTGGAGGAGACACACACTTGAGTCTGAGTGGGTTTACAGCAGCGATGCTCATCGTGCGTGAACGGGTCGTGGCACAGGCAGAGCTATCGATGCAGCAAGCGGGTGGAGAAGACCCCGAGATCGACGACGATGAAGAATGGTTCATGCTGCGTTATCTCGTGCCACTATCCCTACGGCTTGGAGCTCGGCTATTGACACAGATCCGACGCTGTAAAGAGCTCGACCTTCAGCTTTCGAGCTCACAGGAACCTACAGCGGTGGCTGCCCGTCAATTACTGGCAGCTAATCGAGCAGCTTTGCAATTGTTGCATCGTCACTACTCTCGCCGTGACCTTCATGCGGATATTGATGATGGTAGACCGATCGCTTCGACTCCTAAAGCCCCAGCAGTGTCACGTCGACTGACGATACTGACGTTCCGAGGGTTAGCCATGTTCACGAGTGATTTCAACTTATTAGCACCAGGTTCTGGCCTCCCGGCGCTGCATTTTCTACTGGAGGCGGTTAACTGGATCTCTGGCAGTGCACATACAGAAGTGGTCTCCTTCGAAAAGTTCCAGTTGCTGTTGGTGATGCTGGCTGTGCTTCCGTTATCTGCGCCTAATGTTAATCTCTGGACTTCTAGAATTGGTGAAGGTGACAGCTCTGGAGCGTCTCAAACTACATGTAGTTCTCGGCCTCTTGTCGAACCTTTGACTGCGTTTTTCACAAATTTAGCTTCTAGTCCAGCGCTAGTTCGTGTTGCAGCGGAGTCAAACATCGGAGGTAGCGATGAAGGCTCGGATGAGTCAGCACCAACGTTGACTTCTAGTAACCCGCAGTCGCTCTTCGTGCTTGTGGTGGCTGTAGACGGAGGGAACCAAGAGTAAATGTGGCTGTGATTATTAATCAGTAGCATTGCTACCTGAACAAAAGACTCGATTTCATTTCAATAGGTTTAGATGATGGTGGTAGCACGGCATGCACATTGTTCCCAGCACGACAATTCTGTGCTCGGCTTCATTTGGCTCACGGCAGGACAGACGACTTCGCCAACCCCGGAGAGCTGTGCATCGACTTCTCTGCCGTCTTCTTAGTGTAGTGGTAGGTGGACTCGGCCATGACTTGCAATGCTGACATTCTGGCCCAGAGCGGCATTGAACTATTCGCGCTTGCAGATGGCGATGTGGACCCGTCGAGGTCTTTAAGCGTCAAGCGCTTCTGCTGTGGCGTCGAGGGATAGTTCGGCTCGTCTTCGCTGCCAGCTAACTCGTCCCGAGGATCGTCGTACAGCTCTGTTGGGCCCTTGGAGGCTTTTAGCAAGCTATTCAACGCCTGCAGTGACTGTCTTGTCACTTTTTCATCGACGTCATCGTCGTTGTCTTTCAAGGGTGCTGGACCAACAACGGAAGCCGCAAAGTTGACCCTCGGTTGGTTAGACAATTGGTTCTTCGTTACAGGTGGACCGGCTGAAGCAGATAAATCGATCCTGTGCTGCGGTTTAACCACATTGAAGGCGCGGTTGCGATACCTGGCACTTCTCGGCGACGTAAGAGCGCCGTATTGACCAGCTCGGATCTCCTGCCGTGCGATGGCCACTGGATCCTCTTCAGTTGTTTGCGAGATGCAAGGAGTGCAGAGCTTCACCGCGACCAAATGAGTCTCTTTACTCCCGAAAGCACCAGGGAAGAGCAGCTTGTGGGTCACAGTACAGCGTGAGCACATCCGGACGCCACACATCTCGCACATGGAAGGTGAACTGAAGGCGCGATCCAGGCCTTTAGTACACAAGGGACAAAGCGATGGAGAGACCACTGGTGGCAACTTGCGTTTGTGCTGCAAACGCCAAGCGAGTTTTCTGCGTTGTGCACAGACACCTGCTTTCCAGAAGTACGTGAGGCCATTGGCCGTAGATAGCAGAGCGAGACTGTCCAGTACGCGACCCTGTGCTGCTACTCGTCCTGTCATGAAGACGTCCACCAGGTTCGGGTCGTCCTCTCGTTGTCGCAGTAAGACACAGGATGACACTCGCGCTCTCACGAGGCCCAGCTCCTTCCTTAGCTTTGGATACTGCGGTAGATCCAACGAGTGGATAAGGAAGTGACCGAGCTTGGAGCCGTTTGCGCGGGTCTTTAGACCAGTGTGCTCTACGTACACGATATCTCGAGGCAGGACGTTTTGACGAGCCACTTCAAGCCCAGGAAACAGAATGGATGCGCGATCGTAGGTCCTTTGAGCTCTTGTAACACTTGTGCGTCCACCACCTCGTCATCTGAGATGACGGCTTTGGCCATCACGTGGGCGGCAGTGGGCGTGTGAATACCGTACACGACGTCCTCCAGCGCCCCCTGTACACCTTTTCAACTTCAAAATGGCGACAAAGTGACAAAACGTAAGTTCAAAATGACATGACACTGACACTTAATATTTATGGGAGTATTTACGTTTGGAGTTCATTAGATGAAAGAGGCAAAAAGTGGCGGCAACTACTCCCGCCAATTTTGGTGGACGCTGGCTGGCTGTACGGCGTCGATGGAATCAGTGGACACTGTTGCTGCAGTTTGTGGCCGCACTGCCTTTCATTCATTTAGCAATTCTCACTGTGCTTCCTACCCACACAGCAATGCTGTACGACGACGCTACCGCTCGACGGGTTCTCCGTGCAGCTCACGAAGGCCAAGATTGGCGCGATGTCGCGCTCAAGAACGATGTCAAGCTTCGCACTGCTTACCGCTGGATCAATGCGGCCGAGGACAGCGGCAACTGGGAGGCTCTGCCTCGAAAGCCTCGTGGTGGTAAGCGCCACAGCAAGATTCAAGACGAGCACGTCGACTACCTAGTTGGTCTCATCGACGACAACTGTTACATCACGCTGGACGAGATGGTTGACGCCCTCGAGGCTCGATTCGCGCTCAAGGTGACAAGACAGACGGTCAAGACACACATTGACGGCCGGATGTACACGGTCAAGCAAACCCATCGCGACAACAACTACCGCAATCTTGAGGAGAACAAGATTTTGCGCCGGGATTACGTCGTCGAGCTAATTGCTCAGAAGGCCGCAGGTAAGAAGATCTTCTGTGGTGTAGCGGGATCAGCAAAATCTGCGAGATTGCCAGATCCAACTTACCAACTGCGCCCAGACACCGACTAACGGAGGGGGTCCCCCGATGATCCGTGTTCTGCTGAACTTTCCTCACCTTGTGTACCCGTCGGTAGGGCGGGATCTGCTCTCTCGGTAACTTCCGAAGAGTTCAAGTGGTGAAGCTTGAGTGTCTTGGCGAGACGTGGGGATGGGGTGGAGCAGCAGTGGAAAATCTTCACTCTGCGTCCGTGGATTGTTCCGTATCCTAAGCGAATATTCGAGCTTATGGATCCGGGGCCTAGATCGTGGATCTGGCCGTAGGGTTGCCTTGCGGGTGTGTTCCCTTGCCTTTGTGTTGTCCTTTAAGTCGTACTTGCCGCCTCCTGTGACGGGATCTTGAAAGTTGAGAGCCTCTAGGGTGTAACCGACCAAGTAGTAAATTCGGTTAACCTGTCGGATCTGCACGAGTAAAGGAAAAGCTCACTAGGTTGTAGGATCTGGCCAATGTATTATCCAGTTATCACTACCAACACTAGATTCGCAATTCCCAACCTTCTCCGAGCTCGTACGGCCAAATGTAGTTCCGGTTCTTGAGGGCAGGAAGGCACTTGCGTGATACTGTGCAAATTGAGTTCTTTATTGACTGATCTAGTTACTAGAGGCGAAGTCGGCACTAAACGGGTCCGGGCCAATGCTCATCTCAGCTACGATTGCCCTGCGAGGCCAAATCCAATCCCCGTCGAAGACGCCACACGT